TAATTTTATATAATTTTATATAATTTTATATAATTTTATATAATTTTATATAATTTTATATAATTTTATATAATTTTTATTGAATAATTCATCGGTTAATCAATCAAATCATTTATAAAAAATATGCATTATGCTGTCATCGTATACTTTTTATATAATAAATTACCTGTTATACTTTTTAAGGATTTTCACGCATGAAGGATCGAGTTTACTTTTGATCGCGTGGTTTGGTTATCTTTTTTTTTGGGTGAATCCGTATATAAAGTTACGTACGTACCTAAGTACAAAGTTTTACATATAAAGTTATGTACATATTATTGTCAAAATATTCTATATAGTATAGAATATTATACGTAAACCATATAAAACATTATAAAACATTATAAAACATTATAAAATATTATAAACTATTATAAATGATAATAAAATATTATAAACTATTATAAATATAATATATAAAATATTATAAACTATTATAAATATTATAAAATATTATACATAAAATATTATAAAATATGTGGAGTATAATCATTTCAGTATAATTCATTCGGTTTTAGGTTGTTATCCTTATAAAACGAAAAACCTGAATCGGTTTTAGATGTGAGATGAGATGTGTAAATATGAGATGAGGTGTATAATGTGAAGTGTATAATGTGAGATACTAGGTACATACGTTACTTATGTAGTTACTTATGTTGTTACTTATGTAGTTAAGTACATATCCATACCAATACCAATACCGGATACCGGATACGTACTTACCCAGTTACGTAAGTTACGTACGTTACGTACGTACTTCTCGGGATAATTATTTTCGCAATTGATATATTCATATACTGTATCGTTATCGTTATCATTTTCAGAATTTTTTTAAACTAGCCAAATATCAATTCAAACAACATATTAAATTTAATGATACATATAACGATAATATGTCGATATACGTGCAAAAACTTGATAATATATGTACGCACGTACTTCTGCAACTTACACAAAACCAACTTGCAAAAAAAAAAAACTTGTTATGTTCTAAAAAAGCAAATACTAATGATTCTAGAATATTCGTAATGATTTATTTTCAATTTCAATTTTTATATTCATTATATCGATAATTATATCGATATTTTCGATAATTATATCGATAATTATATTGATATTTTCGATATTTTAGTATTTACGATATTTGTTCATCATTCATTCAAAAAATTCAAAAAATTCAAAAAATTCAAAAAATTCAAAAAATTCAAAATTCAAAAATTCAAAAAATTTAAAGCAACCAATCATTATATTAATATTCAACCAATCATTATATTAATATTCAACCAATCATTATATTCATTATATTCAACCACATTATATTCAACCACATTATATTCAACTCATTTATTCATTCAAACATTTCATTCAGTTATCAAAAAGTCCCGATTGTTAGACCTCGACTATTGTATTGATTATATGAGAACGATAAGCAAAAAAGAGAAAAAAAATTTTTTTTTTTTTTTTCATGTATGAATTATAATTGTAAATTCATAAATGTAATGATAATTGAGATATATCAAATTGAGATATCTAGTTAATTGAGATATCTAGGGAGCAAAAAAAGTGTGGGAATTTTTAATCCATATCGAATTTCAAATTTTAAATTTCAAATTTCCAATGTAAATCGAATTATAAATTTCAATGTACAGTATATCGAATTTTAAATTTCAATGTACTCAAATGTATGAATTTCTACGATATACGAACGAAAAGAGAAACCAGATCATAAAAAAGAAAACGAACGCTAAACTATAATTTGGTTTATAGCGTATAAACACGAGTCATTGATTGATATTACATAATATAATTTTTTTTTTCATAATGTATTTTTTCGGATTGTATAAAAATAAAGGTTTATTGTAAAAAGGTAATGATATAAATTACACAAAAATAGAGGCATGCATGAGCACGAGGGAGCTGCTTTTACATTATAATGGTAGATTGTCATCGAACTGTCATTAGATTGTCATAAAAAATCTTACGATCTTATTTGACCATTAGTAACATAGCATGTTTATATATTTTGAAGTAAATACAAAAAAGGTTCAACGAATCATTGAATAAAAAAATCAACGCAAAAAAAATTTTTTTTTTTCTGTCTAATAGTTTCACACGCATTATTTAAAATCACAATCCAAAATGTTTCATCTTTTTCTTTTTTTTTTTTTTTTTTCTTTGATTGCTTATGTTTCATGCATAATGATTTTCGGTAAACATCCAAAAAAAATAAAGAGTTAAAAAGTTTTTTTTTTTTGAACCACTCGAAAAAAGAAATTTTCGAATAAGTCTGGTTCTTGATTATTTAATCATCATTCACACATACAAAGAACCTCCTTTCATCCTCTCGTAGCTTATTATTCTTATTATTACTTATTATTACTTATTATTACTTATTATTACTGTATTATCATTACTGTATTATTACTGTATTATTACTGTATTATTACATGTATTATTACATGTATCTTACTGTATGATTATTATTAGGTTACTTGTTTCATTATGCTGAATGGACATGACAAATGATTTTGAATTCCAAATTTGGAAAAGAAATGATTTGTGTAAAAAAAGGAAAGTGGTGTGAAAAAGATGTCAAGTGAAAAATAATGAGAGCGAATAAAAAAAAGATAAGAGCAAAGAGAAAAGCAAGTATATTTATTGTATTTTTGTCAATTATTTTTCAAGAAACTGATCTCCAAGGTATAAATCAACATTAACTAACATTAACTAACATTAACTAACATTAACTAACATTAACTAACATTAACTAACATTAACTAACATTAACGTTAGTGTGTTATTGCGTTATTGCATTGATGCGTTAGTGCTAATTAGCACGTCAACATCTAACACGTCAATATTCAACCACGTCTAACAGCTAAGATTTAAGATTTAACTACGTACGTCAACATTGACTAGGTCCTCGATATTAACAAAGTACCGTCAATAACGTCATCAACTACAATTATTCAACTATAATTATATACAGTATAATAATATTAAGTACGTACACCCTGTACACCATGTATATCAAGGCATCGAGGATATCAAGGAGAAAAACATTAATGAATCAAAAAAGTATGTGCGTACATCTTTGATACTTGATAACTTTATAGTTAATCAAACAGTAAATCACTTATTAAAACTTGTGATAAAATATTTAAAGTATTTAAAGTATGTATTTAAAGTATTTAAAGTAAGTATTAAGGTAGAGAATCAGGTTTAATTAATCAGTTTAAAAAAAAAAAGCCTGTTACTTTTTTTTTTTTTACGAATCAATTACTGTATGTATACAATTAGTAAATAAAAAAAAAAAGTTCATTTCATTCATTCATCCGTTCATCCATTCATTCATTCATTCATTCATTCGTTTTAAATATAGTAAAAAAATACCTCATTTAACCTCATTTACGTTAACTGGTTAAATTACCTGTATTCAAAATTCTTAAAGGGGAGACAATTAAAAAACCAAGCGAGTAATATCAAGTTATCAAGTTATCAAGTTTCGTTAACTCCCTTTTTAATCAATTTTAATCAATTTTAATCAAGATCATTTAAAAAAAAAAAAACAACACACGAGCAATGCACACACACAAACACAGAAAACGTAAGAGACAATGTGAAAATTTGATGATATGCTAAATTTTTTATGCTTTTCTTGTTCCTCAAATTTTATTATTCAACCGAAAACTCATTTCGAAGAAAGAAAAAAAAAAAATTGCTAAAACTTTTTTACAAACATTTTTTTTACTACTAAAAAACTGAGAACTTTCTTTTGTGCTAGAACTTGTAAAAATATAATTCTTGAAAAAAAAAGTTTTATATAAATTTTTTTTTTTTTTTTTTTTTAATAATTTTACAAAAATTTTTGTCGTATGTGGTGATGTAATTTTAATAATCGTATATTGCTTATTTGCCTTATAAATCTTGTTATATAAAGTCTAATTGTATATACAGAAGAAAAAAAAAGTGCGAGGAAATATATAGCGTACATTCTTATAATTGTTCATATTGTAGTTTATAGTATAACCGTCCAGGAAAAAAAAAAGAAAAAGGATATGAAAATAAAATGAAAATGTATGTATACATATAATTTCGTAAAGAAAAAATTTTCATGAAAAAAATAAATCGTTCGTTTTTTTTTTTTTGGGTTGAAAAAAGATGAAGATAGAAAAAAAATTATTTTCTTGAAAAATAATTCCAAGAAAAAAAAAATGAAATTGTAGAATTGTACAAGATTTATAAGCAAAAAAATAAATCGGATTTCGAAAAGAAATTGGTACCATGAAGAAATAACAATATAATCGAATGATGTTGAAAAAAAAAAAATAATAAAAAGCAATTGTTCGTTTTTTTTTCTGGGAAAAAAAATAAAAGTTCAAAAATTTTTGTTTCTAAAGTACTTTAAATGCGTTTTATATACCACAAAATTTGTTTAAATTTGTTTAAATTTGGTTGTTTAAAATTTGTTTAAAATTTTTTTGTTTTTTTTTTTTATACCACTTTTTACCGACCGATTAGATATTTTTTTTCCCAACCCCAAAACCAGAAAATAACCCAAATAATAATAATAATAGTGTTAAAAAAAGGATTTTAATTAATTAATTGTTTAATTAATTAATTAATTTAGTTAATTAATTAATTAATTAATTTAAATCCGTATATCGTCTTCTAGTTTTCATATTTTGAACCTCGGGAGATTTTCTACAATTTTCTTCCATTTTGAAATGACGACGAAGTGCATCAGTACGAGCGAATGCTTTACAACAACAAGGGCATTGATAAGGTTTAACTCCTGTATGTACACGAATGTGTCGTTGTAAATCATGTTTTCTGGAAAATGATCTTGGGCACATTGGACATTGATACGGACGAGCTGGTGAATGAGAACGAAGATGTGCCTTAAGATTATACAACCTACTAAATGTTTTTGTACATTCTTCATGTGGACATTTAATAAGTTGTTGTTGATTTTGTACCGATTGAGGTTGTTGTGCCGGTTGTTGTTGTGGTGAAGATGATGTCGAAGGAAGTGGATTTATTTGTGCCGGATTTACCAATACTGGATTTGATGGATAATCAAATGAAATCGGTTGCATGGGTTGTGGATTGGTGGGAATACTTCTATTATCAATGTTCCCATTTTGTTGAATAGATACTGGCCACATCCCATAAGTATTTTGTGAATTAATGTTTGGAACGAGTGATGTATTATCATTTTGACGAGGTTCATAAATGATAAAACGCATTTGATCAAATGGTGGTTGAGAATTTTGATGATCGATTGATGAACGACCGCAAAGCTCATAATATTGAGCAATTTGATCATTTAAAGGGAAATGAAGTTCTGTTGTTGGTGAAGTAGCTTCACTTTGAGGCTCTTCACAAAGTGGATAATTATAATTGAATTGATGATTTTCAAAATCATTTGAAGCCACAATATGAGGGGAAGATCCAGCGCTCGAGACCGAATCCATATCGAGATTATAACCACCAAATTCTGACTTGATTGGTGTGGAAGAAACAGGTTCGAATTTAACATTTTGATCATTATTATCAAACTGGGAAAGTTGTGAATTTGGTGAGAAAACCACATTTGGTACAGGTTGTTGAGGGGAGGTGGAACCTGAAATCGGCAACATAGAATATTGTTCTTGGGGTTGCTGCGGTGGTTGTTGCGGCTGCAACTGTTTTTGATAATATTCGGTTTTAACGAATTGTTCACCACCACAATCGACAGGATAGAAACTGTCAGTGGCGCAAAGACTAAAACTACCGTATGGTTGTTCGATGAATGGCATGTTGTTAAGTAAGCTGCCAGCAAGAGCGGTCATAAGTTTTTATAAAAAAAAAAAAAGAATGGATAAGTCGTTGAAATATGTTTCTTTTTTTTTGGGAGGTTATTTTTTTTTGGAATTTTTTTTTTGGTTTTTGGTATTTTTTTTTTTTTTGGAAGCGTAAATAATCGAAGCTTATAAAATGAACTTAAAGAAAAAAAAAAATAGAATAAGAATAAAACCGTATAAGAAAAAACGAACTTCGAAAAATGAAAAAGTCCTTGTTCAACAAGACTAACGAAAGCTATAGAGCCTGAAGAAAAAGGTATTTTATAATAAAAAAATAAAATATATATAAACTATAAACTAACAGGAACAAAAAACGGTTTGTTTGTTGTTGGGAGAAAAAAAAAAAAAAAAAAAAGAGGGCGGGGAAATTGCTGCGTTTATATAGTAAGTAAATTTTAGATGCGTCTTTGAATAATTCGGATTATCTTACTCATACAATAGATACAGTTGATTGAAATATATTATTATAGTGATATACAATAGTAATGTAATAAAAATTACAATACACGTATACAGTATAAATAACTATACAGAATAATAAATGAACTTGCACTCGGATGATTGATTAAAGATTAATATCGACGAACAAAAAAAAAAAAGAATTATTCTTTTAAGCTCTTTTAATGAAATTTGTTCGAGCAGTCCCGCAGACTTAAGATTAATAGGATTTTTTTTTTTTTTTTTTTTGTCTTTTCAAATTTGACGAATGTAAGCGCTTATATATACCTTGAAAAAATTATGACTTATGCATTTCTGTACATCTGTGACTTGTCGAATATCTTTGAAGAAAAAGACAAAAAGACTAGCCAATAAATACACTGACAAGCGATTTTTTTTTTTTAGTTTATCATACTTTAAAAAATTATATATATATATATAAAAAAAAAAATCTTTTTATATGTATTACTTTGAACCTTTTTTTTTTTTTTTTTTTTTTTATTAGTCTATTTTAATTCTAATTGTTTGTATTTTAGAATTTATACTAATGATATCATCGAAATAATATCGAAATAATATTGTCACAAACATATAAGAAATTGGGGTAAGAGGACCTTTAAAAACTTTAGTTGAACATAGGTTGAACATAGGTTGAAATAGGTTGAACATTGGTTTTGAATAATCGGACCCTTTTGAAACCATGCTTACATAAGTTTCATAAGTTTATCAACAAGGAAAAGTGACCTATATTGTATTTTTAGAACATCGGCCTTCAAAAAAAGGGTTATTGTATGACTAATGATATGACTATGATATGACTATGATTATTATGACTATGGTGATAACCGTCGTGATGTCTATCGTGTGATGTCTATCGTGATGTCTATCGTGATGTTTATCGTGATGAATATCGTATGACTATCGTAATGCTAAAAAAAAATTTACATCACAGAGTATCACAGGGTTTAAGTCATAAAAGGAAAATTATTTGTCAGCGGTCAACCGGGGGATATTTCGATATAATGATGTCACACCACATCTTGTACCACTTTTTCAAATGCTTATTACGTTCCCCATAAAGAGATTTAAAATAAAATAAATTATAAAAAAAAAATTTAAGGTAATTCATCCTGACATGCCACTTAATAATTGATCTAATCTCCATCGTATTATTCTATTGTTATTTTATGGTTATTTTATGGTTATTTTATGGTATGGTATGGTAATTTTATGGTATTTTATATAGTATGGTATGGTAATTTTATGGTATTTTTTATAATATGGTATGGTATTTTAGATTTTATGGTGAATATCAGATATAGTACGTACGTATAAGCATCTTAACATCTTGTTTAAGATGAACTTTCGTTCATCTACAAGTTTTTACTCCTTTATTCGGATTTTCATCCTTCTATTTTCCACTTACTTTCATTCAAAGTTAAACTTTTCATTCAGACATCAATTTCGGAACATGCTAGAAAATTAACGAATATAATTTCACAAGACTCTGATCACATGTATCAGTCAATTGACCCATTATCCCAGAAGTTGGGAAGATCTACCATCTTAAAGGTATGTGATACCATCCAATTATATTCGATTTATTTCTGGAATTTATAATGATTGTAGATCTAATACCTTAAAAAATATGTGATACAACCCAATTATATTCAATTTATTTCTGGAATTTCTTTCGAGAGTTTTAATATCGTTAATTATTGGTTTGTATTTTTGACAATATTGTCCATTTAAACATGATGTTTCATCAGTAAAAGATATTCATGTACATATATACAATATTTGAAATTTTTTTACCTTTGTTTTTTTTACCTTTTTTTCTATTACAGTATTACCTTTGTTTTTTTTTTTATCTTTGTTTAAAAATTACCTTTGACCGTTACCTTTGACTGTCTTTGACTTGTCTTTGACTTGTCTCTGACTTGTTTCTAACTTGTTTGACCTATATCTTTAAATATGACCCAAAAAAAATTAAGTTTGGTTAATCTGGGAAGAAAAATAATCTACTTAAAATTACTAAAATTAAAAATGAATGGTCCGTCCTCAAGGTCTGGACAATTTATTATGTGATCGTCGTTTGTATTATCCGGAAATGATTATCAATGTGTCGATTACTTTTTCATTTTTGAAATTAATTAAACCAGTTCATCTTTTATATAATCATAGTTAACATTAATAGTTAACTTCAATGGTTAATATATAAACGTTAAATATATAAATATTAAATATATATAAACGTTAAAATATATAAATATTAAATGTAAATGTAAATGTTAAATATATAAAAAGTTATTAATAATTGTTATTGTAAATAAATGTGATGACTTTGTTTTATCACAAATACCTCATAAATACTTCAATTGAATAAATTGAATACCGATACTGTACTGCATAACGATAAACAAATTTATTGTCCTACTATTGCTATCACTTATCTACCTTGCTTTATCATATCAAAATCATTATCATCTTTAATAATCTTTTTAAACGTTAAATACTGTCCATTTTCTTATTACCATATTTATAAGATTACAAAAGTTGTACGAATCAATAAACATGCTTTTTTACTTTAATAAATGATCTATCTTGCGTCATACATTTCTTTGGTTTCTGTCTGTCTACATCACATGATTCCTTAAAGTTTCTTAATTCTCTTACGTATATACAGTACGAAGATATACAATATATATATATCGTATATACGTATATCAAATATATATGTATATATATATCAAATATATATGTATATATATATCAAATATATATCGTATATACAGTGTATATATATATATATATATATATATATATATATATATATACGTATATGTATATATATAATATATATGTATATATATATTTGTATATAAGCATGTGTATACACATACTCACATAACACATATATACACATTAACTATAACTATTTACTTTTACTTATTTTACTTATACTATTTTAACTTAATCTATGAAACAAAATCACACTTAACTAAACTTAAAAGATATCTCTTGTTGTCTGATATTATATTTAATTATACTTAATCCATTTTTAACCTACTTAATTTAATCTATTTAATTTGCTTGACCTGCTTAATCTACCGTCGAATTTCTTATTGACACATAACAAAAACTCTATAAAGGTTTAAAATTGCTATTTTATTATAATTGTTATAAGCATCTTCGTGTAACCCATCAAATATGCATGCTTCCAAAATTCTGACTCCCCTTCTTTAATCTGCATCCTTAATTTTCCCGCCACTTTTACTCACCATCTTTACTGTCTTCATTCTCTCCTTTTTACTATTATGTCTTGTAACAATATATGTACTTTCCCAGATATTCGGTTATAACTTTATCGTGTTGCTTTTTCTTTTAATCGGCACTGGTGAAACCTTTATGTCAATACATTTTCTACATTGTACAAATGTTGCCTAGTCTTTGTAGATTCTATTTATTTGTCGTACACTATAATTGCACTAGCATTCATTTATATTACATCATGTCATGCTTTTTTTACAACAATGCTTCATTTTTTTAAAAACTGCTGATATTCGGTATCTCCATCCGATTGTGGTATTTATGATCTCATTTTGCATATACTTTTTCGTAATCTTTTTTTTTTATTATTGTTATTGTACTTTGCTATTTTATACATCTGCTATGCATAATTATCGATCCTACCTCACTATCCCTTCTTTAGAAAAAAATATCTACCCTCCATTTTTGCTACGTAGCGATACTGAATTATCGTCATTCGTATTCATTTTTTTCTCGTTTCCCATTTATCCTATTCTATTTATCTTCTTAAATTACTGTAATCGTTTAATGTCAATGCAAAATACGAACTATCAATCGTCTCAATGTAAAATTTCTTGCAGTATATGTGTAAATACGTACGTACGTACGTACGTTCCTATCTATTTGCTATCTGTCTAATTGCTATCGAGATATAATTCATCTGACTCGGGTATAACTATGCAGTTATATAATGCGTTATCATTATGCATATTCAATTCTTCTGCATTTATAATTGTAGCGTTACAAGCATCAATCATTTTACTGCGTACTCATTATTAAATCATTGATTACTTATGCTGTACTATACTATACAATAATTTTATTTTGTTTAATGTCGTGGATTATTATGAAATTGGATTCAAATAAAATTTTAGGGTTTCTATTGATTCTTCTAAAACCTACTACTTATACTTGTTTACTATAATTTCTCCTCTTAAAGTTAACCCCTAACTCTAAAAGAAGCTAAGTCAATGCATTTTAAAATTTTGTATTTTTTCGGTGTCTTGTATATTTAATCTGTTGTATTTAATTTGTTTTATATAATTGTTATAATTGTATTTTCTTTTTTACCTTATTTATACTATATAATAATGCTTTATTATATTATACTATAGAATATTAATACTATATTTATTAATATAAGTTTTATTATTATATTTTATATTAGCAGTTGCCAATAATTAGTATTAAATTTAAATATTAAATTAGATATTAAATTATTGTTAATTAGTTTTGTTTAATTTTAAATTAAAAAATATTAAATTTTTTTTTTTTGAATATTAATGGTGAGATTATATCTCTGTCTTTATTAAAATTTAATTTAACTCTCTTACAAAGCAAAGAATATACAGCTTTTTTACAAAGAGAAGAAAATATAACTTTTATACAAAGAAAAGAATATATTTAAACTTTATATTCTAAAATAGCAAGAAAAAAACTCAGACTAATTTATTTGCGGTCTAAACCAAAAAATATTAAGTATTAGATATTATATAATATATAAATTAATATTTATTGGTTTAAACTACAAATAAACTAGTTTTTCTTTTCTTGTTATCTTAGGATATGGAGTTTAAATATATTTTTTTTTATTGTAAAAGCATTAAATTAAATTTTAATAAAGATAAGACATAGTTTTACTATTAATATTTAAAAATATTATATTTTAATATTTATATTATATAGTACTTTATTATATATTAATTATATAAATTAAGCTAATTTAAGTTTATAGTTAGGGGTATAGTAACATAGTGTAGTTGATAAGTTGTTATCTCCAAAATGGCAGATCTAGAGTTCAAATCTACTGTTGACAATTTTGAAAAATAAAAGTTGTTTCAGTAACAATTATTTAATAATTAATTAAATATATTATATGTAACTTAGATATCATATCTTGAATAGGAGCTTTTAAATGAAGTTATATGACCTTATACAGACAAAACCAAGGACTAGAATAATTAAAACCCATTTGACAAGTCCTGAGCAAAGAGGCAGTAAAAATCTTTAATAATACTGCAGAAGCTGAAACCTTAAAAATTAAAGACTAAAGAATTAAATATAATAACTCTGACATAAAAAGAGTTTACCAATCTGGTTACTAATATCATACCAGAAAAAAAGGTCCTATATTATGAAATTAGAACTGAAAGAAGAGAATCAGAAGCATTTAAAGTCTAGATATTGTTATAGAATGAGTTGTAGTATTAGTTTTATTATTAAGTTTATTATTAGTTATTATTAGTTTATTATTAATTATATTATTATTATTATATTATTATTATTATTATCTTGTATTCTATTAT